CTGAAAGAGGGGAGTTTACCTAAAACAAAATGACAAAAAAAAAAAAAAACATAATTAGGAGTAAAGTGACTATTGGGCAAATAGAAGCTGAAGAGTGCAACCCTTACTAAGAACAGGGCATTATAAGCTTAAATAATAATAAGAGAATTGTTATAACAAGATAGTAATGAACGTTCAGCACACATAGGAACAAATTGAGATAACAGTGACATGGAGGTGGAGATAAGGCACGCGCAGAAGAAAATGGATGACTGTATATATATAACTATCTTTTACATAGTCATAATGGTAACCAAATGCCAAAGATTCAAAACAGTTGTATATAACATAAAACAAGAAGGATCAGAGAAAAAACCCACAAAAGCCAACCAAAATAAAGAAAACAAAAGCACAAGGACAAGAAAGCAATGGAAACACCGAGCAACCAGAAAGCAAAATGTAAATGGTTATAGGAAAATCTTATATTTTAATAATCATCGTAAATGTAAATAGACTGAACTCACCAATAAAAAGGTACAGAGTTGAAGACTGGATCAAAAAACAAAACCCAATCATATGTGCCTCCAGCTCCAAAGACAAATATAGACACAAAATGAAAGGGTAGAAAATGATATTTCAAGCAATGGCATTCAGAGAAAAGAAAGGGTAGAAAATGATATTTCAAGCAATGGCATTCAGAGAAAAGCAGGAGTAGCAGTACTAATATCAGACAAAATAGACTTCAAAATAAAAAAAGTAAAGAAAGATATTGAGAGACACTTCATAATGATAAAGGGAATCATGCACCAAGAACACCTAACACTTATTAATATCTATGCTCCCAATTCGGGAGCCTCAAAATATGTAAACCAATTAATAACAGAACTAAAGGGAGAAACAGACCAAAACACTATCATAGTACGAGACCTAAATACTCCACTGTTGGTTATGGACAGATTATCCAAACAGAAAATCAATAAGGAAATAACATCCTTAAAAGACACATTAGACCAACTGGACATAATTGACATTTACAGAGCCTTCCATCCCCAAACAGCTGCTTATACATCCTTCTCTAGTGCATACAAAACATTTTCAAGGATTGACCACATACTGAGGCACAGAGATAGCCTCAACAAATATAAGATGGTTGAAATCATACCATATATTCTCTGATCATAATGACTTGAAGCTAGAGATCAACTTCAAAAAGAAATCAGAAAAAACCACAAATACATGGAGAATAACAACATGCTACTGAAGAATAACTGTGTCACAGAAGAAATAAAAAGAGAGATCAAGAGATACATAGAAACAAATGATAATGATAGTACAACATATCAAAACTTTGGGGGCATGGCAAAAGCGTCATAAGAGGAAAGTTCATATCATTACAGGCCTATCTCCAAAAGCAAGAATGAGCCAAAATAAACAACCTAATGTTTCATCTTAAAAAACTAGAAAAGGAAGAACAAATGAGGCCTAGAGTTAGCAGAAGTAAAGAAATCGTCATAATTAGAGCTGAAATAAATGAAATTGAAAACAAACAAACAAAAAACACTAGGAAAAATAAAACAAAAACCTGGTTCTTTGAGAAGGTTAATAAAATTGACAAACCTCTGGCGAGACTCACTAAAGAAAAAAGAGAAAGGACACGAATAAACAATCAGAGATGAAAGAGAGGAAATTACGACTAATATTGAAGAAATACAAAGAATCATACAAGAATACTATGAAAAAGAATATAACGCCAAATTAAATAACCTAGAAGAAATGGACCAGTACTTAGAAAAATACAACCTTTCTAGACTGAATCAAGAAGATCTGGAAAATCTAAATAGACTGATTAGCAGTATGGAATTTGAAAATAATCATCAAAAACCTACCAAAAAGTAAAAGTCCAGTACCAGATGGCTTCACCAGTCAATTCTACCAAACATTCAAAGAAGATTTAATACCTATTCTCCTCAAACTCTTCCAAAAAATCAAAGAGGAGGCAATACTTCCCAATGAGGCCAATATTACTCTGATACCAAAACCTGGTAAAGTAAACACAAAAAAGAAAACTACAGACCAATATCTCTCATGAACACAGATGCAAAAATCCTCAATAAGATACTAGCGAACTGAATACAGCAACATATTAAAAAGATTATACTCCACGATCAAGTGGGCTTTATCCCAGAGGCACAGGGATGGTTCAACATACCCA